AACTCGGGTTTAAGCGCGGCGCGGTAGCGAGTGTCGCTAGTGCGAAGGTGGGTGATGAGTTCGGCGACTGTGGGAAAGTCTGACAGCTCAGGAAAGAGGTAGGGGAGGGGTATGAGTCGGCCTAGAGCAGCAGTGGCAGGGGAGGAGTAACGAGCTACTAGAGCGTCAAACAGTGCTTTAGCAGTCTTGTGCTGGCCAAAGTGCGCGCGTTCAGCTAACAGCAGGTGGTTGCAAATGGCGAGGCGAGCAGTAGCGTCACGGGTAAGCCACTGTGAGCGAGTCGCACTGTCAGCTGTCTTGGGAGGAGTGAGAGAGGTCCCAGACGTGTGTACAAACAAGGAGACGCCGTCCCTAAACTTGCTCTGTAGGTACAGCTGTAAGTCGTCTAGCCAGGTCTCAAACTGGATCGGACGGCCCTCAGAATCGAAGGTGAGAACACTAAGAGAAGTGATAGCGGGCAGAGCAGGGCGGCGCATGGGCACTAGGGAAGCGCGCAAGGCAGGGCGGGGCGGCGCACGGCTAGGGAAGGGCGGCGCGCAACCAGGGAAGGGTGGCGCGCGGCCAGGGCAGGGCGGCGCGCGGGCACTGGGGCGGTGCGACGGGCCAGGTAGGGGCGGCGCGCGGGCCCTTGGGTGACGCGACGGGCAGGGGAGGGCGGCGCGCGGCCAGCAGGGCGGTGCGACGGGCAGGGCAGGGCGACGCGACAGCCAGCAGGGCGGTGCGCGGGCAGGGCAGGGCAGCGCGACTAGTGGGGCAGCACGACGGGCAGGGTAGGGCGCTATGTGCAGGGTGATGCGCTACGGCCAGGGAACTATTCGGTGGGCCCTAAAAAAAAAAAAATCCTGGAATAGGACCTGCTCTGAAACCATGTCAGAATACAGAATGGGGATGATTGCATTGAGATCCAATCGAGTACAAGTACTAACCCTAATTGGGTTGTACCCCTTATGGGCTACCCCACTACAGCCTACACAACATAAAAATTATAATGTTGTGACAAGAAGGAGTGCTCTCGCACTGTACTCGTCAAATTTTCTGACAGCCTTCGTCTGCCACATTCAGCACAATGGACGTTCGCGATGGCTTCATCGACACCAACGGTTCCCGATCCACCGACTTCTGACATGCGTCAGAACTCCCGCCAAACATCGCGTCCACCTCTACTGTCTGACACGCATCCGCCACATCAACGGTTTTTATTCATCGGCGGATTTCCAACTCAACATTCGTTTTCTACCGCCCGATCGACATCGGCAGTATCAACGGCTGACATTCCAACTCTTCGAATTTCGCCTGGTCAACGCTCTCGACCACACGTCAGCTCGACGGTCAACGCTGCGCTACACCGTCAGATCAGCTTCATCTGAAGATCTGCAGTTTTCACGCTACTACAAGACTCGGGTTTGTATAAGGGCACCTTATTTAGAAGGTGGGAGAGTGTAATGAATATGCAATTTATATCTGTAGAGGCTGCTCCTAGCAAGGACAACCCGAACAGTTCGCGTCAGTTTGGGTTCGGCCTACACTTTCGCACCGAACCAATTCCGAGTCGCTCCGCACCAATCGCGACACATCCAACCCTCGCACGTTAGAGGTTCTCGCCTAGCTAGTTTCCGCCCTATATTTGCTCGCTTTCTTCATTGTTTTGGCATTTTGTAATCACTTCCTCTTTATAATATTCTTCTGCGCACTCTGATAGTACAACTCATAACAATTGCGGCATGTAACAAGTTCATACCGTCACCCCTCGGATACGCTCCCATGGGGGGGTATAATAAAACATGTTTTTGGGGGGGGGTGGGCTTATAATCGAGTAAATTTACAAGCGCCGGTGTTTATGTTATGTCAATAATGAATTTTGTTTTTTTTTTTTTAACCAAAACGAAGCATTTTTAAAGGCAGATGCACCTGAGTCGAGAACGTTCGAAACTGTGCATATTTTCCGTGTGAAAAGGCCAACAAGGCGTGGCTTCACGCCTTCCACGCCTTGTTGGCCAGGCCAGGTTCATCGAACGTGAACCTGGCCCATGCAAGCGCACACGCACTTCGCATCGCGACTGCCCAATCAGGGTTGCATGCGGTCCAGGGCACGTCGTGGTGCAGCCATGACTTGCCCATCCAGAGCAAGATTCCCCGCCACCGAGGCAAAGAGCTGCCCAGCTCAGCTCCTCTGCGGGGAATCTTGACTGGGGCCACCCTTTCCCCGCAGAGGAGGCCGGGCCGCGAAACTGAAGGGGTCTCGGGCGAGGGCTTCATACGACCCTCATTCTCAACTTTCTTTTCAGATTAGTTTTTTGGTTTGGCCTGCCGTGGCCATGGCGGGCCTTCCAGGCACACATTTCCTGTTCCGCCGCCAACCTGCTGCTAGAGAAAATAGAGACACCCGTGACTACTCTCAATGGTAGACGCGCCATGCGCCCGTCCCTCCAACACACCCAGACGTGCCTCCCATTCCTCCCACTCCTCCAGCGCCTCCTAACCCTCCCACTCCCCCGGCGCCTCCGGTTCCTCCCGTTCCTCCGTCCCCTTCTGAGCCGCCTGTGTTCGGTATTCCACGTTAGGGGGTTCTGCAGCTTCTCCTCCCTCCTGGCTACTCGGCGTTTGACGCTTACCTGTCCGAGCCCGACCACACCGGTGGCGCATCATCTTCCTCCGCACCGTCGCCACGCTGGGGAACCCCGGCTAATTGTCCGTTGGACGAATCCGCGACTTGTGCGGAGGAAGATGTGGAGTTCTGGGCTGCCGACGGTCTTCCAGAGCACCTGCCTATTCCCACCTTTCCCCCTCCTAATAAAAAACGGCCACACCCTTCTCGCGATAATCGTGATGCCCGTCCTCCCTCCCCCAGGCACAAGCCTACGGATCACAAGCGCCATTCTTACACCTCACAGGAGAAGCTGCAGTGGATTCTCAAGCTTGAATCCGGGGAGATGAGCGTGCGGCGGATCTCTCACGAATCCGGCATCTCCCGAAGGTCACTCGCAAGGTGGAAGACCCGGAAGGTTGAGCTGGAGGGCGCGCATGCTGCTCGCAAGCGACTTCATGGGCGCGGAAGGAGCTCGTGGTATCGCGACATGGAAGCGGAAGTTTACAGGAGGTTTCTTTCCCACCGTAAAAAGTGTCTTGCCGTCTCGATCGCACGCCTGCAGAAGTGGTCGCATGAGGTGATGAAAGAACTTCATCCAGAGGTAAAGTGGGTCGGCTCTCAGCGGTGGACTGAGCGGTTTTGCCGCCGCTGGAACCTTACAACCCGAGCGAAGACGAGGGTCGGCCAGAAGCTTGCGGCTAGTGAGTTGTTTTTTTTTTATCCGTCGTTTACGGTTTACTGTTTTGTGTTGTTTGTCTGTTCTTGTCTAGCGGTTATTTCCCAACGCGACACTCATCCTGTGTTTGTTTGTTCTCTCGTTTCCTCTCATCCGTACTCCCAGAATGCGAGATTGATGTAAAAAACGTCTGGAAGTTTGTGCGTTTTACGCACCGCCGATACAAGATCGACCCGCAGTGGATTATTAACGCGGACCAGACGCCACTCTGGCTCAAGATGCCAGCCAAACGCACCGTCGAAGAGGTGGGCTTGCGCTCTGTGCCCATTCGCAGCGGCGGCTATCAGAAAGAGCGAGTTATCGTGATGCTCGTCTGCAGCGCTAGTGGTGAGAAGCTGAAGCCGTGGGTCTTCTTCAATCGGAAGACCGTCCCCAAAGGGAATTTCCCTTCAGGTAAGCTTTACCACCCACTGCTGCATGTTTATTGTGTTTTTAGTTTATACTAATATTGTATGTGCGTTTGTTGCTGTGCAGATGTCACCGTGTCCGTCCATCCCAACGGTTGGATGGACGCGGACGGTGTCATCGCGTGGCTCGACGGGGCGGTCAAGCCGTACGTCAACCCTAAGTTCAGAGTCCGCCCCCGTAAAGCGATGCTCGTCTTGGATTCGTACCGCGGGCACCTGACTGCGGAGGTGAAGCAAAAGTTCGGCGAGTTGAATCTTGTCCCTGCCGTTATCCCAGCTGGCTGCACCTCGGAGATTCAACCCCTAGATGTCGGGGTGAATCACTCCTTCAAGGCCGCCGTTCGCCACCTCTACCAGGAGCGGTTCGAGAGCGAGGGGGTCGACACCTTGACGAAGAAAGGTGAGACATGCCGCCCATGTGTGTGTGTGTTTATCATTCTGTAAACCGTACTGACTCTGGTTCTTGAATTTCGTGGCAGGCAACATCAAGAAGCCTCCACCCGAGGTGACGCTCGGTGGATCTCAGCGGCTTGGAAGGCCGTGCCCAAGGACTTGATTCAACGGGCATTTCTTACCTGCAGCATCAGCAACGCCCTGGATGGGTCCCAGGACAAGCTCTGCCTGCAACACAGGCGAGACGAGCTCGAGGGCGACGAAATCGAGATGGACGATGACATTGCAGCAGATGGCTTCTTCTGCAACAACGTAGAGGAACCTGAGTCGGACTCTGAGGCCGACCCAGATGACCCCACCGCAGCTGATGACTAGAGTAGATGTTATGGAAAATGATGTAGCCTATGTGTGAGGCTTGTAGGTAGATGTATGGTAGACTGGTAGTATTATTTGCAAAGTACCGTATTAAATTGTTTAGGTGAGCGAATGACCTGTTGTATAGATTAAGAAAAATACAAAATATGGAAAAACATTGAAAATAGGGTGGCGGTTATATTGTGTAAGGCACAAGTATGCGGCTATAATCCGTAAGCCTTTAGGTTATGCGCTTATGATCGAGGATCGGATATAAGCGCCATATGCCAATTAGAAGCGCCATGCGCTTATCCTAGAGTGGCGCTTATATCCGGGGGGTGACGGTACATGTAAATGAAGTTGTGTTCATGAGATGGATTCATTACGCATTACAGGAAAAGCAAAAATACATGTTATCTATGACAGCAGAGTACATAAGTGCATGACCATTACAAGACACTAAACAAAATGTCCAGTAGCACTGGTTATCCAGCTAATGTTGTTCTGTGACCATTTCCACTGGCTAGACATCACCACTTGCCTGCACTTGAACCACCTGTTCCCCTAGCTGCACCTCAGGCCTCCCTCGACTTGCTCTCTCCCTCCGCCTCTTCCTCTTTTCACCACTTCCCACCTCATTTCCCCCCTCCCCTCTCCCTTTCTCTGTCCTCTCCTCCCTCACTCCCTCACTCTCCAACCTCCCACTCCCTTTTTCGACAGTCTTGGGCGGTTTCAGCTTCCCAATCTTCACCCCTGCCAGCCCTCGCCTTGCCGTCTCCCACGCTGCAGCTGATACTGGTCCTTTTCTCTTCTCCTGCCTCTGCTGTGTCTCTGAACCTCGCTCCTGCGCTGTGCTGCGGCTGCTGTCGCCACTCATGCCGCCCACACTGTCGTCCCCGGGCGGCACGCCAATAATGACGCCCGACCCGATGCACGTGTCGCCATCATAGAAGGCGGCAAACTGCCCGGCAGCTAGCCCCTGATCATCCTGGGATAGAATCACCAGCGCTGCGGTTTCTCCTGCTGCTACTGTTGCTGCTTCTGCCTCTCCTGCTGCTCCTGCCTCTACTACTGCTGCTTCCTCTACTGCTGATCCTGTTTCTGCTGTCGGATGATTCACTGCATCTGGACGCATGGTAGCTGGTAGCTCAGCAAACTGCATGGAGCAGGGGTAGAATTGGGGGCCGTGGCGGACCTGAGGGAAGACACGGGGGAGAGGAGGGGAGAGGAGGGGAGAGGAGGGGAGAAACGGGGGGGAGGGAGAACTGGGGGAGGCAGGGGTGGGCAGCGGAGAGCAGGGGTGGAACTGGGCAGCGGAGAGCAGGGGTGGAACTGGGCAGCGGAGAGCAGGGGTGGAACTGGGCAGCGGAGAGCAGGGGTGGAACTGGGCAGCGGAGAGCAGGGGTGGAACTGGGCAGCGGAGAGCAGGGGTGGAACTGGGCAGCGGAGAGCAGGGGTGGAACTGGGCAGCGGAGAGCAGGGGTGGAACTGGGCAGCGGAGAGCAGGGGTGGAACTGGGCAGCGGAGAGCAGGGGTGGAACTGGGCAGCGGAGAGCAGGGGTGGAACTGGGCAGCGGAGAGCAGGGGTGGAACTGGGCAGCGGAGAGCAGGGGTGGAACTGGGCAGCGGAGAGCAGGGGTGGAACTGGGCAGCGGAGAGCAGGGGTGGAACTGGGCAGCGGAGAGCAGGGGTGGAACTGGGCAGCGGAGAGCAGGGGTGGAACTGGGCAGCGGAGAGCAGGGGTGGAACTGGGCAGCGGAGAGCAGGGGTGGAACTGGGCAGCGGAGAGCAGGGGTGGAACTGGGCAGCGGAGAGCAGGGGTGGAACTGGGCAGCGGAGAGCAGGGGTGGAACTGGGCAGCGGAGAGCAGGGGTGGAACTGGGCAGCGGAGAGCAGGGGTGGAACTGGGCAGCGGAGAGCAGGGGTGGAACTGGGCAGCGGAGAGCAGGGGTGGAACTGGGCAGCGGAGAGCAGGGGTGGAACTGGGCAGCGGAGAGCAGGGGTGGAACTGGGCAGCGGAGAGCAGGGGTGGAACTGGGCAGCGGAGAGCAGGGGTGGAACTGGGCAGCGGAGAGCAGGGGTGGAACTGGGCAGCGGAGAGCAGGGGTGGAACTGGGCAGCGGAGAGCAGGGGTGGAACTGGGCAGCGGAGAGCAGGGGTGGAACTGGGCAGCGGAGAGCAGGGGTGGAACTGGGCAGCGGAGAGCAGGGGTGGAACTGGGCAGCGGAGAGCAGGGGTGGAACTGGGCAGCGGAGAGCAGGGGTGGAACTGGGCAGCGGAGAGCAGGGGTGGAACTGGGCAGCGGAGAGCAGGGGTGGAACTGGGCAGCGGAGAGCAGGGGTGGAACTGGGCAGCGGAGAGCAGGGGTGGAACTGGGCAGCGGAGAGCAGGGGTGGAACTGGGCAGCGGAGAGCAGGGGTGGAACTGGGCAGCGGAGAGCAGGGGTGGAACTGGGCAGCGGAGAGCAGGGGTGGAACTGGGCAGCGGAGAGCAGGGGTGGAACTGGGCAGCGGAGAGCAGGGGTGGAACTGGGCAGCGGAGAGCAGGGGTGGAACTGGGCAGCGGAGAGCAGGGGTGGAACTGGGCAGCGGAGAGCAGGGGTGGAACTGGGCAGCGGAGAGCAGGGGTGGAACTGGGCAGCGGAGAGCAGGGGTGGAACTGGGCAGCGGAGAGCAGGGGTGGAACTGGGCAGCGGAGAGCAGGGGTGGAACTGGGCAGCGGAGAGCAGGGGTGGAACTGGGCAGCGGAGAGCAGGGGTGGAACTGGGCAGCGGAGAGCAGGGGTGGAACTGGGCAGCGGAGAGCAGGGGTGGAACTGGGCAGCGGAGAGCAGGGGTGGAACTGGGCAGCGGAGAGCAGGGGTGGAACTGGGCAGCGGAGAGCAGGGGTGGAACTGGGCAGCGGAGAGCAGGGGTGGAACTGGGCAGCGGAGAGCAGGGGTGGAACTGGGCAGCGGAGAGCAGGGGTGGAACTGGGCAGCGGAGAGCAGGGGTGGAACTGGGCAGCGGAGAGCAGGGGTGGAACTGGGCAGCGGAGAGCAGGGGTGGAACTGGGCAGCGGAGAGCAGGGGTGGAACTGGGCAGCGGAGAGCAGGGGTGGAACTGGGCAGCGGAGAGCAGGGGTGGAACTGGGCAGCGGAGAGCAGGGGTGGAACTGGGCAGCGGAGAGCAGGGGTGGAACTGGGCAGCGGAGAGCAGGGGTGGAACTGGGCAGCGGAGAGCAGGGGTGGAACTGGGCAGCGGAGAGCAGGGGTGGAACTGGGCAGCGGAGAGCAGGGGTGGAACTGGGCAGCGGAGAGCAGGGGTGGAACTGGGCAGCGGAGAGCAGGGGTGGAACTGGGCAGCGGAGAGCAGGGGTGGAACTGGGCAGCGGAGAGCAGGGGTGGAACTGGGCAGCGGAGAGCAGGGGTGGAACTGGGCAGCGGAGAGCAGGGGTGGAACTGGGCAGCGGAGAGCAGGGGTGGAACTGGGCAGCGGAGAGCAGGGGTGGAACTGGGCAGCGGAGAGCAGGGGTGGAACTGGGCAGCGGAGAGCAGGGGTGGAACTGGGCAGCGGAGAGCAGGGGTGGAACTGGGCAGCGGAGAGCAGGGGTGGAACTGGGCAGCGGAGAGCAGGGGTGGAACTGGGCAGCGGAGAGCAGGGGTGGAACTGGGCAGCGGAGAGCAGGGGTGGAACTGGGCAGCGGAGAGCAGGGGTGGAACTGGGCAGCGGAGAGCAGGGGTGGAACTGGGCAGCGGAGAGCAGGGGTGGAACTGGGCAGCGGAGAGCAGGGGTGGAACTGGGCAGCGGAGAGCAGGGGTGGAACTGGGCAGCGGAGAGCAGGGGTGGAACTGGGCAGCGGAGAGCAGGGGTGGAACTGGGCAGCGGAGAGCAGGGGTGGAACTGGGCAGCGGAGAGCAGGGGTGGAACTGGGCAGCGGAGAGCAGGGGTGGAACTGGGCAGCGGAGAGCAGGGGTGGAACTGGGCAGCGGAGAGCAGGGGTGGAACTGGGCAGCGGAGAGCAGGGGTGGAACTGGGCAGCGGAGAGCAGGGGTGGAACTGGGCAGCGGAGAGCAGGGGTGGAACTGGGCAGCGGAGAGCAGGGGTGGAACTGGGCAGCGGAGAGCAGGGGTGGAACTGGGCAGCGGAGAGCAGGGGTGGAACTGGGCAGCGGAGAGCAGGGGTGGAACTGGGCAGCGGAGAGCAGGGGTGGAACTGGGCAGCGGAGAGCAGGGGTGGAACTGGGCAGCGGAGAGCAGGGGTGGAACTGGGCAGCGGAGAGCAGGGGTGGAACTGGGCAGCGGAGAGCAGGGGTGGAACTGGGCAGCGGAGAGCAGGGGTGGAACTGGGCAGCGGAGAGCAGGGGTGGAACTGGGCAGCGGAGAGCAGGGGTGGAACTGGGCAGCGGAGAGCAGGGGTGGAACTGGGCAGCGGAGAGCAGGGGTGGAACTGGGCAGCGGAGAGCAGGGGTGGAACTGGGCAGCGGAGAGCAGGGGTGGAACTGGGCAGCGGAGAGCAGGGGTGGAACTGGGCAGCGGAGAGCAGGGGTGGAACTGGGCAGCGGAGAGCAGGGGTGGAACTGGGCAGCGGAGAGCAGGGGTGGAACTGGGCAGCGGAGAGCAGGGGTGGAACTGGGCAGCGGAGAGCAGGGGTGGAACTGGGCAGCGGAGAGCAGGGGTGGAACTGGGCAGCGGAGAGCAGGGGTGGAACTGGGCAGCGGAGAGCAGGGGTGGAACTGGGCAGCGGAGAGCAGGGGTGGAACTGGGCAGCGGAGAGCAGGGGTGGAACTGGGCAGCGGAGAGCAGGGGTGGAACTGGGCAGCGGAGAGCAGGGGTGGAACTGGGCAGCGGAGAGCAGGGGTGGAACTGGGCAGCGGAGAGCAGGGGTGGAACTGGGCAGCGGAGAGCAGGGGTGGAACTGGGCAGCGGAGAGCAGGGGTGGAACTGGGCAGCGGAGAGCAGGGGTGGAACTGGGCAGCGGAGAGCAGGGGTGGAACTGGGCAGCGGAGAGCAGGGGTGGAACTGGGCAGCGGAGAGCAGGGGTGGAACTGGGCAGCGGAGAGCAGGGGTGGAACTGGGCAGCGGAGAGCAGGGGTGGAACTGGGCAGCGGAGAGCAGGGGTGGAACTGGGCAGCGGAGAGCAGGGGTGGAACTGGGCAGCGGAGAGCAGGGGTGGAACTGGGCAGCGGAGAGCAGGGGTGGAACTGGGCAGCGGAGAGCAGGGGTGGAACTGGGCAGCGGAGAGCAGGGGTGGAACTGGGCAGCGGAGAGCAGGGGTGGAACTGGGCAGCGGAGAGCAGGGGTGGAACTGGGCAGCGGAGAGCAGGGGTGGAACTGGGCAGCGGAGAGCAGGGGTGGAACTGGGCAGCGGAGAGCAGGGGTGGAACTGGGCAGCGGAGAGCAGGGGTGGAACTGGGCAGCGGAGAGCAGGGGTGGAACTGGGCAGCGGAGAGCAGGGGTGGAACTGGGCAGCGGAGAGCAGGGGTGGAACTGGGCAGCGGAGAGCAGGGGTGGAACTGGGCAGCGGAGAGCAGGGGTGGAACTGGGCAGCGGAGAGCAGGGGTGGAACTGGGCAGCGGAGAGCAGGGGTGGAACTGGGCAGCGGAGAGCAGGGGTGGAACTGGGCAGCGGAGAGCAGGGGTGGAACTGGGCAGCGGAGAGCAGGGGTGGAACTGGGCAGCGGAGAGCAGGGGTGGAACTGGGCAGCGGAGAGCAGGGGTGGAACTGGGCAGCGGAGAGCAGGGGTGGAACTGGGCAGCGGAGAGCAGGGGTGGAACTGGGCAGCGGAGAGCAGGGGTGGAACTGGGCAGCGGAGAGCAGGGGTGGAACTGGGCAGCGGAGAGCAGGGGTGGAACTGGGCAGCGGAGAGCAGGGGTGGAACTGGGCAGCGGAGAGCAGGGGTGGAACTGGGCAGCGGAGAGCAGGGGTGGAACTGGGCAGCGGAGAGCAGGGGTGGAACTGGGCAGCGGAGAGCAGGGGTGGAACTGGGCAGCGGAGAGCAGGGGTGGAACTGGGCAGCGGAGAGCAGGGGTGGAACTGGGCAGCGGAGAGCAGGGGTGGAACTGGGCAGCGGAGAGCAGGGGTGGAACTGGGCAGCGGAGAGCAGGGGTGGAACTGGGCAGCGGAGAGCAGGGGTGGAACTGGGCAGCGGAGAGCAGGGGTGGAACTGGGCAGCGGAGAGCAGGGGTGGAACTGGGCAGCGGAGAGCAGGGGTGGAACTGGGCAGCGGAGAGCAGGGGTGGAACTGGGCAGCGGAGAGCAGGGGTGGAACTGGGCAGCGGAGAGCAGGGGTGGAACTGGGCAGCGGAGAGCAGGGGTGGAACTGGGCAGCGGAGAGCAGGGGTGGAACTGGGCAGCGGAGAGCAGGGGTGGAACTGGGCAGCGGAGAGCAGGGGTGGAACTGGGCAGCGGAGAGCAGGGGTGGAACTGGGCAGCGGAGAGCAGGGGTGGAACTGGGCAGCGGAGAGCAGGGGTGGAACTGGGCAGCGGAGAGCAGGGGTGGAACTGGGCAGCGGAGAGCAGGGGTGGAACTGGGCAGCGGAGAGCAGGGGTGGAACTGGGCAGCGGAGAGCAGGGGTGGAACTGGGCAGCGGAGAGCAGGGGTGGAACTGGGCAGCGGAGAGCAGGGGTGGAACTGGGCAGCGGAGAGCAGGGGTGGAACTGGGCAGCGGAGAGCAGGGGTGGAACTGGGCAGCGGAGAGCAGGGGTGGAACTGGGCAGCGGAGAGCAGGGGTGGAACTGGGCAGCGGAGAGCAGGGGTGGAACTGGGCAGCGGAGAGCAGGGGTGGAACTGGGCAGCGGAGAGCAGGGGTGGAACTGGGCAGCGGAGAGCAGGGGTGGAACTGGGCAGCGGAGAGCAGGGGTGGAACTGGGCAGCGGAGAGCAGGGGTGGAACTGGGCAGCGGAGAGCAGGGGTGGAACTGGGCAGCGGAGAGCAGGGGTGGAACTGGGCAGCGGAGAGCAGGGGTGGAACTGGGCAGCGGAGAGCAGGGGTGGAACTGGGCAGCGGAGAGCAGGGGTGGAACTGGGCAGCGGAGAGCAGGGGTGGAACTGGGCAGCGGAGAGCAGGGGTGGAACTGGGCAGCGGAGAGCAGGGGTGGAACTGGGCAGCGGAGAGCAGGGGTGGAACTGGGCAGCGGAGAGCAGGGGTGGAACTGGGCAGCGGAGAGCAGGGGTGGAACTGGGCAGCGGAGAGCAGGGGTGGAACTGGGCAGCGGAGAGCAGGGGTGGAACTGGGCAGCGGAGAGCAGGGGTGGAACTGGGCAGCGGAGAGCAGGGGTGGAACTGGGCAGCGGAGAGCAGGGGTGGAACTGGGCAGCGGAGAGCAGGGGTGGAACTGGGCAGCGGAGAGCAGGGGTGGAACTGGGCAGCGGAGAGCAGGGGTGGAACTGGGCAGCGGAGAGCAGGGGTGGAACTGGGCAGCGGAGAGCAGGGGTGGAACTGGGCAGCGGAGAGCAGGGGTGGAACTGGGCAGCGGAGAGCAGGGGTGGAACTGGGCAGCGGAGAGCAGGGGTGGAACTGGGCAGCGGAGAGCAGGGGTGGAACTGGGCAGCGGAGAGCAGGGGTGGAACTGGGCAGCGGAGAGCAGGGGTGGAACTGGGCAGCGGAGAGCAGGGGTGGAACTGGGCAGCGGAGAGCAGGGGTGGAACTGGGCAGCGGAGAGCAGGGGTGGAACTGGGCAGCGGAGAGCAGGGGTGGAACTGGGCAGCGGAGAGCAGGGGTGGAACTGGGCAGCGGAGAGCAGGGGTGGAACTGGGCAGCGGAGAGCAGGGGTGGAACTGGGCAGCGGAGAGCAGGGGTGGAACTGGGCAGCGGAGAGCAGGGGTGGAACTGGGCAGCGGAGAGCAGGGGTGGAACTGGGCAGCGGAGAGCAGGGGTGGAACTGGGCAGCGGAGAGCAGGGGTGGAACTGGGCAGCGGAGAGCAGGGGTGGAACTGGGCAGCGGAGAGCAGGGGTGGAACTGGGCAGCGGAGAGCAGGGGTGGAACTGGGCAGCGGAGAGCAGGGGTGGAACTGGGCAGCGGAGAGCAGGGGTGGAACTGGGCAGCGGAGAGCAGGGGTGGAACTGGGCAGCGGAGAGCAGGGGTGGAACTGGGCAGCGGAGAGCAGGGGTGGAACTGGGCAGCGGAGAGCAGGGGTGGAACTGGGCAGCGGAGAGCAGGGGTGGAACTGGGCAGCGGAGAGCAGGGGTGGAACTGGGCAGCGGAGAGCAGGGGTGGAACTGGGCAGCGGAGAGCAGGGGTGGAACTGGGCAGCGGAGAGCAGGGGTGGAACTGGGCAGCGGAGAGCAGGGGTGGAACTGGGCAGCGGAGAGCAGGGGTGGAACTGGGCAGCGGAGAGCAGGGGTGGAACTGGGCAGCGGAGAGCAGGGGTGGAACTGGGCAGCGGAGAGCAGGGGTGGAACTGGGCAGCGGAGAGCAGGGGTGGAACTGGGCAGCGGAGAGCAGGGGTGGAACTGGGCAGCGGAGAGCAGGGGTGGAACTGGGCAGCGGAGAGCAGGGGTGGAACTGGGCAGCGGAGAGCAGGGGTGGAACTGGGCAGCGGAGAGCAGGGGTGGAACTGGGCAGCGGAGAGCAGGGGTGGAACTGGGCAGCGGAGAGCAGGGGTGGAACTGGGCAGCGGAGAGCAGGGGTGGAACTGGGCAGCGGAGAGCAGGGGTGGAACTGGGCAGCGGAGAGCAGGGGTGGAACTGGGCAGCGGAGAGCAGGGGTGGAACTGGGCAGCGGAGAGCAGGGGTGGAACTGGGCAGCGGAGAGCAGGGGTGGAACTGGGCAGCGGAGAGCAGGGGTGGAACTGGGCAGCGGAGAGCAGGGGTGGAACTGGGCAGCGGAGAGCAGGGGTGGAACTGGGCAGCGGAGAGCAGGGGTGGAACTGGGCAGCGGAGAGCAGGGGTGGAACTGGGCAGCGGAGAGCAGGGGTGGAACTGGGCAGCGGAGAGCAGGGGTGGAACTGGGCAGCGGAGAGCAGGGGTGGAACTGGGCAGCGGAGAGCAGGGGTGGAACTGGGCAGCGGAGAGCAGGGGTGGAACTGGGCAGCGGAGAGCAGGGGTGGAACTGGGCAGCGGAGAGCAGGGGTGGAACTGGGCAGCGGAGAGCAGGGGTGGAACTGGGCAGCGGAGAGCAGGGGTGGAACTGGGCAGCGGAGAGCAGGGGTGGAACTGGGCAGCGGAGAGCAGGGGTGGAACTGGGCAGCGGAGAGCAGGGGTGGAACTGGGCAGCGGAGAGCAGGGGTGGAACTGGGCAGCGGAGAGCAGGGGTGGAACTGGGCAGCGGAGAGCAGGGGTGGAACTGGGCAGCGGAGAGCAGGGGTGGAACTGGGCAGCGGAGAGCAGGGGTGGAACTGGGCAGCGGAGAGCAGGGGTGGAACTGGGGATCGTGGCGAACCCGGGGCAGGGCTGCACTAAGTGACTTTTGAGTCGATAGTTGAGGTGCCTCAAAATCAGCTGGGCAGCAGATTGCAGGGGTGGAACTGGGCAGCGGAGAGCAGGGGTGGAACTGGGGATCGTGGCGAACCCGGGGCAGGGCTGCACTAAGTGACTTTTGAGTCGATAGTTGAGGTGCCTCAAAATCAGCTGGGCAGCAGATTGCAGGGGTGGAACTGGGAGCCGTGGCGGACTTGGAGCAGGACTGGACTCGCCACCTTGAGTCCAGCTGACCCCCGCCCACCCAGATCCTCCCCCCACACTTGGCTGGCGAGTGGGGGGGGGGGGGGGGGGGGTGACTGGGTGCTGCCCTGCTCCCCATGCTCCCACCACGGCTAGCACTTGGTGTGCTTCCCAAGAACCTTGAAGGGACTCACCTTGCAAGTGAGGTTGGGTCGTTCGGTCAAAGGAGGGGTGCATTCCCCTCCCTGCGTCCAGCTGAACCCGCCCACCCAAAACTGCCGGCGGGACTTGGCTGGCGAGTGGTAGTCACAGGATACGAAGACCGTGTTGGTGTCCGTGTCTTTAGCTACCACGTACCTGGTCAGTAGGGAAAGGGGGGGAAGGTTGTGTGGAGGATGAGGGGAACGAGGGGGAGCGTGGTGGGGTGATGGCAATTGAAGTCTGAGAGTGGTAATCGCGGGAGAGTCAAAGACGGTGCTGGTGACCGTGTCCATAGCCACTACATACCGGAAGAGGTAACGTGAAAAGGGTGAAATGGGAAACACAACAGAGCGTGAGGAGGAATCGAGTCGAGAGTGATTTTGATAATTCTCAAAACCAACCAACAACAAAGAGCGGCAGTTGTGGGAGACAGTGTTAGTGGCGCTGTCTTGAGCAACCAAAGTGTGGGGAAAGCGGAACAGCGGGAAACTCTACAACAAGGAAAAGAGGGGTGGCTTGGAAATACAAGGTAGAAGAAACATGAGGGGCGGTTGCAGCCGTTTGGCTGGATAGGGCCTCTCACCAGCTACCTCATGACCTGCCCCACTCACAGATCCCTCCTCCCTCACTCACCACGGCCCGCCAGACAGCTTGATGCCCTGCCGCTGCCCGATGGTGAAGAACCAGAAGCCTCTGTGCACCCCCAGGGCCTCCCCCTGATTGATGAGTGGTTGGGGCAAAACCTTGTTTGCCTGAATTTAACCACCCACGCTCACCCTCACTCACTCACCACGGCCCTCCAGAGAGCTTGATGCCTTGTCGCTGCCCGATGGTGAAGAACCAGAAGCCTCTGTGCAACCCCAGGGCCTCCCCGCTCTCTGCCTCCACCAGCAACCCCTCCTGCTCGCCCACATGCCGCGCCACAAACTCAGGGAACTTCACCTGGGATACAGAAGCAGGATAGGTACAAGGGTAGACAGGCAGGTGTGCAAGTTGGTACATGAGTAGGAACAAGTGGGTGTGAAACAAGTCGTCTCCTCACTCTCTGCCTCCACCAGCAACCCCTCCTGCTCGCCCACATGCCGCGCCACAAACTTGGGGAACTTCACCTGGTGGCATGGGAACATGAGAAATGGGCATGTGGTTGGTTGGATACAACGGTAGGAGCAAGCAACTGAGTGGGTGCTACTATGATCGCCTCCCCACTCTCTGCCGCCACCAGAAGCCCCACCTGCTCACCCACATTCCGTGCCACATACTCAGAATTTCAACATCGTACCTTCCCTTATCATGCCTTTCCAAGGCCGTACCTGCCCCTGACCACACTTTCCCCAGGCCGCACCTTCCCCAAGAAGCAAATCCCTTGCGAGTCCTTTCTGCTCTGGTTGGGCGGGTTGAACGACATGCCACCTCAATCTACCTACACCATGCTGTGACTTCCCCACATCGTACCTTTCCCAGAAAGCAAATCCCTTGCGAGTCCTTTCTGCTCTGGTTGGGCAGGTTGAACGACATGCCACCTCAATCTACCTACACCATGCCGTGACTTCCCCACATCGTACCTTTCCCAGAAAGCAGATCCCTTGCGAGTCCTTTCTGCTCTGGTTGGGCAGGTTGAACGCCGCTGCCAGCTGTCGCACCTGAGACTGCAGTGGGGAGAGAAAGGACAGAAAAGACAAGAGGGAGACACAGGGTAAGGGAGAAACAGGGTAAGGGAGAAACAGGGTAAGGGAGAAACAGGGTAAGGGAGAAACATACGTTGGTGACAGATGAGTCGACTCAAAAGAGAAAGGACAGAAAAGACAAGAGGGAGAAACAGGGTAAGGGAGAAGCATACGTTGGTGACAGGGCAAGAGCGCAGGAGAGTAAGAGAGCAGCGTACATTAGTGAGCGCAAGAGGGTAAGAGGGAAAGAGGGTAAGAGGGTAAGAGGGTAAGAGGGAAAGAGGGTAAGAGGGTAAGAGGGTAAGAGGGTAAGAGGGTAAGAGGGAAAGAGGGAAAGAGGGTAAGAGGGTAAGAGGGTAAGAGGGAAAGAGGGTAAGAGGGAAAGAGGGTAAGAAGGTAAGAGGGTAAGAGGGTAAGAGGGAAAGAGGGAAAGAAGGTAAGAGGGTAAGAGGGAAAGAGGGTAAGAGGGTAAGAGGGTAAGAGGGTAAGAGGGTAAGAGGGAAAGAGGGTAAGAGGGTAAGAGGGTAAGAGGGGAAGAGGGTAAGAGGGTAAGAGGGTAAGAGGGTAAGAGGGTAAGAGGGAAAGAGGGAAAGAGGGTAAGAGGGTAAGAGGGTAAGAGGGAAAGAGGGTAAGAGGGAAAGAGGGTAAGAGGGTAAGAGGGTAAGAGGGTAAGAGGGAAAGAGGGTAAGAGGGTAAGAGGGTAAGAGGGTAAGAGGGTAAGAGGGTAAGAGGGAAAGAGGGTAAGAGGGTAAGAGGGTAAGAGGGTAAGAGGGTAAGAGGGTAAGAGGGAAAGAGGGAAGAGGGTAAGAGGGTAAGAGGGTAAGAGGGTAAGAGGGTAAGAGGGAAAGAGGGAAAGAGGGAGGGTAAGAGGGTAAGAGGGTAAGAGGGTAAGAGGGTAAGAGGGTAAGAGGGTAAGAGGGTAAGAGGTAAGAGGGTAAGAGGGTAAGAGGGTAAGAGGGCAAGAGGGCAAGAGGGCAAGAGGGCAAGAGGGTAAGAGGGCAAGAGGGAAAGAGGGTAAGAGGGTAAGAGGGTAAGAGGGTAAGAGGGTAAGAGGGCAAGAGGGTAAGAGGGCAAGAGGGCAAGAGGGCAAGAGGGCAAGAGGGTAAGAGGGTAAGAGGGTAAGAGGGTAAGAGGGTAAGAGGGTAAGAGGGCAAGAGGGCAAGAGGGTAAGAGGGAAAGAGGGAAAGAGGGTAAGAGGGTAAGAGGGCAAGAGGGTAAGAGGGAAAGAGGGTAAGAGGGCAAGAGGGTAAGAGGCTAAGAGGGTAAGAGGGTAAGAGGGTAAGAGGGAAAGAGGGTAAGAGGGCAAGAGGGTAAGAGGGAAAGAGGGTAAGAGGGTAAGAGGGTAAGAGGGAAAGAGGGTAAGAGGGCAAGAGGGTAAGAGGGAAAGAGGGTAAGAGGGTAAGAGGGTAAGAAGGAAAGAGGGTAAGAGGGCAAGAAAGTAAGAGGGAAAGAGGGTAAGAGGGCAAGAGGGTAAGAGGGAAAGAGGGTAAGAGGGCAAGAGGGTAAGAGGGAAAGAGGGTAAGAGGGCAAGAGGGTAAGAGGGAAAGAGGATAAGAGGGCAAGAGGGTAAGAGGGAAAGAGGGTAAGAGGGCAAGAGGGTAAGAGGGAAAGAGGGTAAGAGGGCAAGAGGGTAAGAGGGAAAGAGGGTAAGAGGGCAAGAGGGTAAGAGGGTAAGAGGGCAAGTGGGCAAGAGAGCAGCGTACCTTGGTGAGGGCCCCTAGAGGGAACATGACTCGAGAGAGCTGCTGCTGCGATAGGTGTGAGAGGAAGTAAGTCTGATCCTTCACCTGGCGAAGAGGAAGAAAATGAGGGAGTCGAATCAGAACAGCGGGAGGAGAAAGTGTGAGAAGAAATTCGGAAGGAAAGAGAGTTGATATGTTTTCAAGGTTTTACACGTCTGCAACTTGTGGTGTTACCTGAGTGAGTCACCTCAGAATTCTCGGCATTGCATGGTATTTTTGAGAGTTTTCATAAATACCCTTCACACTCTGCAACTTGTGGCGCTACCTGGGTTACCTGAGAATTCTCAAAGAAAACGACAACAATCTGCAGGGTTACCTGTGCACCTGGGATTCATTCTCGCCTCATCTGCCGATATCACCAGGCGCACAACAGCAGATGGTTCAGCAGGTGATCAGTCCGCACCTGTGCTGTCAGTTCAGAACTTGCGACCTAGTAAAGCGGGCAACTTATAAGCTCACCTCATCTGCCGACAGCAGCATCAGGCGCACAGCAGCTTGTGGGTCAGCTGGTGAGCAGACAACGCGGGCATACTGCCCCGATGCCACGCGGTCGAAATGAGTGAAGTGTTTTGCAAGGCTTCTGAGGACTCACCTCATCCGCAGACAACACCAGGCGCACAGCTCTCTCGCTGGGGTGGGACGGGTCGGCTGGCGGTGAGCGGATAACTCGAGCGTAATGCCCAGATGCGACGCGGTCAAAATGAGTGAAATCAAGGTGATCGTAGAAGGCACCTGGATGGGTGCAGAGGGGTAGGAAGGGAAGGTACAGGGTAGTAAGCAAAGGGCCAAACTGCCATGAGCCAGGCGTAACGCCCTGATACCATGCGAGGTGGTTATAGAAGGGAAGCTATGTTGGAGCTGCCATTGACAATCCTACAATGCGACTTCACCAAAGCTTTGTGCACTATGCATAAGAATCTCACACTGGCACTTCATGTATCATGAGTCATACCCACCCACCCATCCCACCAAAAATGTTACAGAGCACACGTGCCAAGAACGGGTTCAAGAGTCCGAAAAAGGAGTGACAGGCGTGTGACATGGTTGTACATTATACCAAACTTGATGCGTGAGTTGCGAAGAACGCCAGGATTGGGTTTTTAAGTGACTTGGACAACACTCAAACACAACACTTCTAGATGGTGTTAGGATGTACCAAACTTGATGCGTGAGTTGCAGAGCATGTCAGGGTTGGGAGTGCGACCGCTGCGAATCTCCCCCACACAATGCGCCACCACTCGCTGCCAGTAGGCATCGGTGAGATGCACTATGTGCAGAGGGACGTTAATCTGCCAACAAGGGGGTTCACACAGGGAGAGGGATGGATGGAGCATGCTTTGAGAGGCACAGTGAGCCACCACCTGCTGCCAGTAGGCGTCTGTCAGATGCACTATGTGCAGCAGGATGTTAACCTGCAGAGAGGGATGCAGTGCGGTGGAGATAGAGGGAGTTTAATATGACAGGGAGATGGGTGGAGTGCGGCCGCTGCGAATCTCCCCCACACAATGCGCCACCACGCGCTGCCAGTAGGCGTCCGTGAGATGCACTCTGTGCAGCGGGACGCTAATTTGTAGGGAGGGGAGTGTGAGAGGGGAGTGTGAGAGGGGAGTGTGAGAGGGGAGTGTGAGAGTCGAGTGTGAGAGGGGAGTGTGAGAGGGACATGGATGCAGCATGCTATGACTGGCACAGTGACCCCCCACGCGCTGCCAGTACGCCAGGGTACGATGCACATACTGCAGGGCAGGCACGGGAGCCTGTGCGGTGCAGGTAGGGGTGCTGTGCGGTGCAGATAGAGGGAGATGGATGGAGATGGATGAAGCTTCTTCTTGGTGTGTGGGCGTGTGTGGTGGTGTGTGGTGGTGTGTGGGTGTGTGTGGGTGTGTGTGGGTGTGTGCGGGTGTGTGCGGGTGTGTGCGGGTGCGTGCGGGTGTGTGTGGGTGTGTGTGGGTGTGTGTGGGTGTGTGTGGGTGTGTGTGGGTGTGTGTGGGTGTGTGTGGGTGTGTGTGGGTGTGTGTGGGTGTGTGTGGGTGTGTGTGGGTGTGTGGGTGTGTGGGTGTGTGTGGGTGTGTGTGGGTGTGTGTGGGTGTGTGTGGGTGTGTGTGGGTGTGTGTGGGTGTGTGTGGGTGTGTGTGGGTGTGTGTGGGTGTGTGTGGGTGTGTGTGGGTGTGTGTGGGTGTGTGTGGGTGTGTGTGGGTGTGTGTGGGTGTGTGTGGGTGTGTGTGGGTGTGTGCGGGTGTGTGTGGGTGTGTGTGGGGAAACCATGAGACAGAGACTCACCTCATCGCAAACAGCCTGCGCCACGGCCAGGTCGTCCTCCCAGGGCACTGCGACCAGAAGTTCTCAAAGTCCTCTTGGAACAACGTGTGTGGGTGTGCCAGGGCCAGGTCATCCTCGTTATAAGCCAAGTGCTAACCCACCTCGTCACACACGGCCTGAGCCACGGCCAGGTCGTCCTCCCAGGGGCACTGCGACCAGAAGCTCTCAAACTCCTCCTGGAACCACATGTGCTTCCGTGTGGCTGGCTGGGTGTGTAGCCAGGTCATCCTCGTTATAAGCAGAGGGGTACTCACCTCATCACAAACTGCCTGCGCCACGGCCAGGTCATCCTCCCAGGGGCACTGCGACCAGAAGTTCTCAAAGTCTTCTTGGAACAACGTGTGCGGCTGTGCCAGGGCCAGGTCATCCTCCTTATAAGCAGGGCACACTAGAGTGGTGGTACTCACTCACCTCGTCGCACACAGCCTGCGCCACGGCCAGGTCGTCCTCCCAGGGGCACTGCGACCAGAAGTTCTCAAAGTCCTCCTGAAACCAGATCTTTAAGTAAAACGCCTCGCACTTGTGCCCAGCTGCGTGCAGCAGCCTAAGAGCCACGCTGCTATCCACACCGCCGCTTAGCAGCACCGCCACCCGCAGCGGCCGCTGCTGCTCCGGCGAGTTCCCATTGGCACTTAACGGTTCACAGCACTCCAGCACCCTTGGGTCGTCTAGATCCAACGGCTGAGATTCCTCTGCGGAATGGGCATTGCTTGATAGCCGTTCAGATACTACACGCGTTGGAGCGGACAGGAGTTGGACGGAGGAAGGGGAGAGGGTATTGGCATTGTCTGGAGATGAGAGTTCTGTAGAAGAAGCTTCTTTAGAGGGTTCCGACGACAAAGAATGTGCGCTGCGAAGGGCGGCAGTCTGGCTGTCGCGAAGCGGATTAGGACGAAAGGAAGGACGCCACGAGGCGCTTGCAACGCAGTTGCTGGTAACATCTCCTCGCGAGAAGATACTGCTTCGCGTGCTGCCGGTAATCGTGATTCGCGACAGGTCAATGAGAGCCTTGACCCTAGACCTTGCTGCTGCGGCTCCTAACGAGGTGACGGTCTTGAAAAGATTGGAACTATCCTTTATCGAAGGTGAAAGTAGAGGGGGTTCTGGCCCACGTGGAAGAAGTGATTGTAACGGTCGGAATGTGAGTGGACGAGTAGCCATGCTAGGAAACGAGGGGTACGTTGATGGAAGTCGTATGATAGTCGCTATATTCGTTATTGGAACGACGGAAGTGGCATGCAATGACGTGAAGAGCGACGACGGTTCGACTGCTTCACGGATCGACAGGAGGACGCGACGCGGGACGAGCCTAGCTTCGAAGCACATCTGTCGTACGACGTTCAACTTTACGCTACCCTTCAGTCAGCTAAAGGTTCACGTGAAAACGCGTCGCCGTTTGCAATACCATGTGCTACCATGCTCGAGTACAAGGACCTGACTAAGAGACTGGTCATGGGATATACTTATAAACAAGCCTCACCACAGTTCCTTGTCCCACTTTAGAACCCTCTTGAAATCGCAAGGAGGCCATGCTTCCATGCTGCTGAAACACGCCCGTCTTGCCTCGATAGCATCTCACGTGAGTTCGACTTCCAACCGGTTTAAAACAGCACGCACCTTACATAACCGAGTGAAAGGTCCTGGTTTTGCGAACAACAATCAGCCTCGCGAACCTCTTCAATTCCGCCTTGTTAGGCGGTGACAAGTTCCATCCCACTCAACTGGATTCCCGCCAGAAACAACTTCTATAACTGGCCCTTGAAAATACCGAGCCGCAGAAAATGCGAAGAAGTGCAGCTTCGCTTTCCACTGCGCGAAATCGTTTTTGTTCGTAAGCCTGACACCCTCATCGCAAGCTCTGCTTGCCCTGCCCTCGCCATAGCGCTTTTCAAAATAATTTCTCACTCAAAACCTCTACCAATACATTTGACAAGCACTAAGCAACGCGAAAAAAACTCCAGTTGCTGAGTGCGATACATGCCCTGAGTGGGAGCTTGATCTGAGGGTAACAAGCGGTAAACGAAGCCTGAACGTCTCCGTCTTTCCCGCCGTCTTCACGCTGTATGATGCAAGACAACTAGATCTGCTTTAGCTTTTTTAGTCTTAGCCTGTAAGATGGCCGATCCTAGAATTCGCAGGCAAACCTACACAGCCGCATCCCAGCCTTCCCGCGGTGCGTATCCGCGCGGATCTGTTCCCCCGCAGGCGCAACGTGGGGTCGGATCCAGGGGGATCGGATCGGGCCGCGCAACTGCTGGCGGAAATACGGGATCGGGGGAAAGGCAACTCGCGGAGACCGCGGAGCAGGCGGCGGAGAGGGAACTGCGCGAGCGGAGAGAGCAGGAGCGGGCGCAGGAGGAGCGGGAGAGGGACGCGAGGGAGCGGAAGGCGCAAGCGGCGGAGCGGCTGCAGCGGGAGCAGCTGGCGGTGGTGTCGCTGGAGCGATCTGTACATGCTAAAGCGCGCGATGTTGAGTCTCTTTCAGCGCAGAGCACGCAGATGGACGAGCAGGCTTCGGCCATTAGGTGAGGGCTGGGAGCGATGAAACACTGCGACAAAGACTGCAGCGGGAGCAGCAGGCGGTGGTGTCGCTGGAACGATCCGTGCATGTTAAAGCGCGCGATGTGGAGTCCCTATCCGCGCAGAGCATGCAGATGGACGAGCAGGCTTCGGCCATAAGGTAATTTGTGAGGTCTGTAATCGTGAGGTCAGCTGATTGAAGCTCTGTGATTGCCGCTATCTAAAGCACACGATGTCATGGAGTGGCTGTCCGCGCAGTTCACGCAGAGGGACAAGGAATCCTCGGCTGTGAGGTGTGATCTGCAGGGTTAGGGAGACCTGCACGCGATGTGAGCACTTGAGCCTCTCCAGGTGCTCAGGGAGTGTCTCAATTCAAAGCTTCGGCTGTGAGGTGTGATCAGGGAGCCTCTCCACGCGATGTCGTGAAGTCTGTGCAGTTCACGCACAAGGACGAGCAGGCTTCAGCTTTATGGTGAGGTCGGAACTTGGGAGCGAATTGATTGTTGTGTGACGTTCGCACCCCCGTTGTTTCCCTCATTGTTTTCCTCCTGTTGCGTAGCACTGTAACTGCGTAACTGTCGCAGGGCGAGGGCTGCGGTGCTTCATGCTCATTCGCTGCGAATCAGCGGCGTCTGACGAGGCTGAGGATCGCGTTCTTAGTGCCTGCAGAACTCGCGTATGCTCTTTGATTTTGTAACATTGTTACTCTCTAACTCGTCTGGCAGAGCAAGAGCAGCGGTGCTTCACGCTCATTCGCTGCAAGTGGACGGCTTCCGAGCGTATCTGGGGGCTGGGAACCGTGGCCTGCGGGACTGCAGAGCTCGCATTTTTCCTGCCCTTGCAGCTTCTGCTACGTCCGCACGAGGATCCGGAACGGCAGGAACAGCAGCATCAGGAGGAGCTGGAGGAACAGCAGCAACGGCAGCTGCAGCTGCAGCAG